AAGCTGCAGATTCGGGTGATGTTTTAGCTCATCCACGCATCACTAGCGCACACATCCAAAGCACACGCACAGAAAGCGTCTGTCACACGGCATGTGAGAACTAAACTTCTCTTTCATGTCTTACTGCGCTTAAAATGCCAAATACACAGAAATTTATGTTAAAAACACAAGTGTTACAAACAAGTCGATTATGTCTGTGAAGGTAAACAGCTGGGAAAGAAATTGCAAGAAATCGAGAGACTTTGCACCTTGCGTTCATGTTCTGCTGTTCTATGACCAAAGATTTGTGGGTCTTGTCTTTTTCTCCGACAGGTGACTGTATCAGCATCTTTTCTCCATTGGCTACACAAACTATTTGTGTTGATTGCAAGTGACGTTGTAATTTTGTATCTTTTTTCTTGTCTTCACAACCTGGCTACTGTAGTAAAATGTTGATAGATTCAATTTAAGAAAAATAAAGCAAGTGATGTCACTTGTGGAAGCACAGGTGTCTAAAAGTGGACATTTGAGAGTGGTCTGAAATCGCAGGATGAGAATGATATTTACCTACAACCCACTGTTGGAAACAAAGCTTGCAAATGTCTTCTATGATTTGCCATCTACGAAGCAGCTTTTTATTGTGCGTGCAGCTTTTTATGAAAGACTCCGAAGGTAAAGACCATAGATAGAGTGTGTTTATAAGGCTGGGTAAGGTTAGCCTTCCTATGGCCACGGGTCAGAAATTAACAGGGGCTTGGGACAAAAAATGCCCCTGAACAATTAGATTAAATCTATTCAGCTGTCGCAAATAAAATGAAAATGAATTGAGAAGTGCCGATTGTGGCACAACGTTTAGATCTGCTAATGTTACATCATATTTCTTTGTACATGTTCTTACACTGTCGTGCATTATTACCAAACACATGCAGTCCGGTGATCTTATAAATGCAATGGCCAATCAAAAGCATTTAGATTAGCCATTGCTGAAATGCCAGTTTTGTTCAGTGAACAGGCTCGCTGACTGAATTCTGCACTCTCATGAATTCTCTCATCATTAACAACAAATTGCAGATGTACGTACGATGTAAGTGATTAAGCTTTTTGAGAGTGCTTAAATTTGCACTAGACTGAAGTTATTAATATTCTTTGAAAATGTAAATGTTCTTTGACTGCTTTGTTTGTAATTGATTTGCTGTTTAAATAACAGTAAAAATGACAGCATTATAATTTAATTACAGTGTTTTTATTACAATGTGATCAAGTTAAATACAAAGGACAGCAGCAATTCAGCCATGAAGCGGAAGACCTTGTAATGTCATAGAGTGGGTGATGATTCCAGAGCTGAAGAGATCCTGGCATTTATATCAACACAAAAATAACAATGCCAAGCATCGGATGGAGCTGAGTAAAGCACTGGACTCTGGAGCAGTGGAAACCTGTTCTGTCGAGTGATGAATCACACTTTTCTGTTTGGCAGTCTGATGGGCGAGTCTGGGTTCAGCGAATGCCAGGAGAATATTTCCTGCCTGACTGCATTCTGCCAACTGTAAAGATTGGTGAAGGAGGGATGATGGTATGTGGCTGTTTTTCAGGGATTGGGCTTGGCCCCTTACTTCAAGTGAAGGAAAATCTTAATAATTTTGGACAATGCTATGCTTCCAGCTTTGTAGGAACAGTTTGGGGAAGCTCCTTTTTATTTTAGCATGACTGCCTTAGTGTATAAAGCAAGGTCCACTTTCCATGAGTGACTACACCAACTGTTCTCAATTCCAGTCATGGTGACCCACCGCTTTCCATTTTTGTATGTCTCTCTATTATAAAACTTACTTGATTCAGAACATCAGCTCATTAGGAGAGTGTCAGATAAGAGAGACATACAAAATGTGCAGAAAAGTGAGTTGATAGGAATTGAGAACCACTGGACTACACAACAAACAACCAACACATACAAGAGCATATGTGTGTCTATGGATATGTTGTCACGCTTTCACCTAAATGTGTGTGTGTTGTAGGAGATGGTGTTTCCAGTGGGTTAGAAAGGTTAAGAGACATTCATAGGGAGGGGGAGGGCCACAGCCAAGATTGCGTTCATGTTCTGCTGTTCTATGACCAAAGATTTGTGGGTCTTGTCTTTTTCTCAGACAGGTGACTGTATCAGCATATTTTCTCCATTGGCTACACAAACTATTTGTGTTGATTGCAAGTGACGTTGTAATTTTGTATATTTTTTCTTGTCTTCACAACCTGGCTACTGTAGTAAAATGTTGATAGATTCAATTTAAGAAAAATAAAGCAAGTGATGTCACTTGTGGAAGCACAGGTGTCTAAAAGTGGACATTTGAGAGTGGTCTGAAATCGCAGGATGAGAATGATATTTACCTACAACCCACTGTTGGAAACAAAGCTTGCAAATGTCTTCTATGATTTGCCATCTACGAAGCAGCTTTTTATTGTGCGTGCAGCTTTTTATGAAAGACTCCGAAGGTAAAGACCATAGATAGAGTGTGTTTATAAGGCTGGGTAAGGTTAGCCTTCCTATGGCCACGGGTCAGAAATTGACAGGGGCTTGGGACAAAAAATGCCCCTGAACAATTAAATTAAATCTATTCAGCTGTCGCAAATAAGATGAAAATGAATTGAGAAGTGCCGATTGTGGCACAATGTTTAGATCTGCTAATGTTACATCATATTTCGTGCATTATTACCAAACACATGCAGTCCGGTGATCTTATAAATGCAATGGCCAATCAAAAGCATTTAGATTAGCCATTGCTGAAATGCCAGTTTTGTTCAGTGAACAGGCTCGCTGACTGAATTCTGCACTCTCATGAATTCTCTCATCGTTAACAACAAATTGCAGATGTACGTACGATGTAAGTGATTAAGCTTTTTGAGAGTGCTTAAATTTGCACTAGACTGAAGTTATTAATGTTCTTTGAAAATGTAAATGTTCTTTGACTGCTTTGTTTGTAATTGATTTGCTGTTTAAATAACAGTAAAAATGACAGCACTATAATTTAATTACAGTGTTTTTATTACAATGTGATCAAGTTAAATACAAATTCAGTCATATTAAAAAGATCTTGTGGCATGACCATATCTGGTACTTGCCTAAAAAGAGGGGTTTATGATGTGCGTAGTTAATAGATTGCACTAACATTAGGCTACTTTTAGCCTAACCCTGGACTTGGTTTAGCCTCTGCCTATTGAAAAGACAATTTATGTCCATTTATATCCAAAGCAGGATTAAAAACCAGTATCAACATATGGGCACACTTTTTTGATGGGGGGCCTGAGGATAGGCTAGAAACACCCCAGTACATGAGGAAAGGCTAGAAACACCCCCAGTTCTGATAAGCTCAGTGAATTGAATTGTGGTACTGTGATAAGATGTCAACTTTGCAATAAGTCAGTTCGTGGAATGTCATCCCTGCTAAATAGTCCACGGTCAACTGTAAGTGGTATTTTTGGAAAGTAAAAGTGTTTAGTCAGCAGAGACCAGGACAACTAGATGAGCCCCAGATACAGATCCCCAGTAAATACCTTGTCTCAGACGGCCACCGGGACAAGACCACAGGAGCCAGTTGAGTCCTCTGCACAATGTGACTTTGCTGCAGCATGGATCAACCTGCTGATTCGTCTGGCCAGAGGAGAACTGGCCCCCCGACTGAGCCTGGTTTCTCCCAAGGTTTTTTCTCCATTCTGTCACCGATGGAGTTTTGGTTCCTTGCTGCTGTCGCCTCTGGTTTGCTTAGTTGGGAACACTTCATTTCCAGCGATATCGTCGACTTGATTGCACAGATACTATTTAAACTGAACTGAGCTGGATGATGACATCACTGAATTCAATGATGAACTGCCTTTAACTGAAAAATGAATGTTTACTATTGTCACTTTGCATTATTTACACACTATTTTTCTAATTAATGCTGTACAGTTGCTTTGACACAATCTGTATTGTTAAAAGCGCTATATAAATAAAGGTGACTTGACTTGACTTTAGGGACAGCAGCAATTCAGCCATGAAGCGGAAGACCTTGTAATGTCATAGAGTGGGTGATGATTCCAGAGCTGAAGAGATCCTGGCATTTATATCAACACAAAAATAACAATACCAAGCATCGGATGGAGCTGAGTAAAGCACTGGACTCTGGAGCAGTGGAAACCTGTTCTGTCGAGTGATGAATCACACTTCTCTGTTTGGCAGTCTGATGGGCGAGTCTGGGTTCAGCGAATGCCAGGAGAATATTTCCTGCCTGACTGCATTCTGCCAACTGTAAAGATTGGTGGAGGAGGGATGATGGTATGGGGCTGTTTTTCAGGGATTGGGCTTGGCCCCTTACTTCAAGTGAAGGAAAATCTTAATCATTTTGGACAATGCTATGCTTCCAGCTTTGTAGGAACAGTTTGGGGAAGCTCCTTTTTATTTTAGCATGACTGCCTTAGCGTATAAAGCAAGGTCCACTTTCCATGAGTGACTACACCAACTGTTCTCAATTCCAGTCATGGTGACCCACCGCTTTCCATTTTTGTATGTCTCTCTATTATAAAACTTACTTGATTCAGAACATCAGCTCATTAGGAGAGTGTCAGATAAGAGAGACATACAAAATGTGCAGAAAAGTGAGTTGATAGAAATTGAGAACCACTGGACTACACAACAAACAACCAACACATACAAGAGCATATGTGTGTCTATGGATATGTTGTCATGCTTTCACCTAAATGTGTGTGTGTTGTAGGAGATGGTGTTTCCAGTGGGTTAGAAAGGTTAAGAGACATTCATAGGGAGGGGGAGGGCCACAGCCAAGGTCAAAGGGTAGTGTAATGAGCAAAGAGCTGTCAATTACTCGCTCTCTGCCAATCTGCCGTCATTACACTCACATTTAGGGTAACAACAACAGAAGTTACACATGAAACCACAAGAAAACACAAAGAGCTTTTATATTTCTTCCTCGGTTTGGATTCTTTAAATGTATTTTTTTCTTAGCTGCATGTGATTTCCATTCAAGATCTTGTGAGGGAAATGTGTGCGTGAGGAAGAGGGGGGCCGGGGGTGATCGAGAGAGGAAGTCCAGCTTGGCAGGGCAGGGCAGGGCGTAAGCGAGAGAAGAAGAGAACAGCAGTGCAGACTACGTAGGCTTGAGTAAAGACAAAAAATAGCCAAGGGAGAAGTAGATGTGAGAAAGACTACAGCAGGGAACACAACAACACACACTGCCTGGACATTTAGAGGGGAATCATGGCCTCTCTGCTGTTTGGATCGATCTGTGTTCTCTGCATCTTGTCAGCACTCACGCACACAGCTTCCTCGCAACAGTTAAACACAGTCTACAGGGTAAGTCCTCTCTTTATGGCTGAGAAAAGAGGAATATTTGAATTAGCATCATATGCCAAAGGTTTTACAATAAACACAAATAATATGTTGATTTTAGTTCCTTTATTACTTGTTTGTAGATATACTTCTATCCAGAGCAGTTTCTTTAAAAGTGTTGCTTTCCTTTTATTGCTGCATGTGTTCAGAATTATCATTATTACAAATCACTATGCTCAAATAATCTCTAATCAAATTCAGTGTTCTGATTATTTGAGCTAAGCTATGCTATTACTTACTGAATGTCAGTGAGTGCCTCATTTGTGTTTTTATTTCT